GTAGTAGAAATAAGCAGTGGAACAAGGGAGAGAATAAAGAATAAAATTACAGAGTCTCAGTACCTCTTGTTAATTTGCCAAGCGAGTGGTAAAACCCCTCAACACTTGTATTGAGACGTTTGCTAAAGCATAACATCTGTCAGATCCCTCTTTTAAAAGCATAGTATTTGAATCAGTTACAAAAACAGAAGGATTCTACAAATTTTCAGTTGGGCAAATGATAATTTTCACTATCTGATTTCTTACCGGAGCTTTCCAAATGTTATTCTTCCTTGCCAGCTTTCTTAGTTTACGTGAGGACTAATAAGGATCTTGCATTAACATTTGTCATTATATAGCTATGAAATCCTCACTTCTTCAAAGAAAAATGTTATCCGCCAATGCGAGCACTAAGAATCGTGTACGTTATGACAATTAATTTATGTTCTCTTTACCAGTGACAGGACTAAAAAGAACATTTGGACCAAGGAAGAGATTACAAATTAATCTTCTGTTTCTAAGCTATTAAACGCCTAGTAATCAAGGTTCATCAATTTTGAGCTGAAAAAAGCTATAAGCCAGATATTGTCATCAGGATCAGAAATCCGTTTTGAAATCCATTTCCGAGAGAGGACAATTTTACGACAAGTAAATGAACCTGCAATTACTGACTTTCATTTCAAAATATTCCAGAAAAGCTCGTAACCTTTCCGTTTCTATTCATGGCTTTCCGTCTCACCCTTTTCGGACCCAGACTAAGTTATAGCGCTGCCTGACATTAAATGTCTATAACGTTGTGAATTTTTGACATTTTAGGGGAAGAAATACAGTTATGCTGTTTTTTTGTCTCTTTAAAACAAATAATCCGTAGCTTATATAACCAAAGTGATTATCTGATGTTTATGCTCTGTTTCCGGCTGCCCTATCCGGTTTTCCATAGAAGTAGAAGAATACGGCCTCCCGAATGAATTTTGGGGGACAAATTTGAAAAAAAAAATGTCGTAAGTTTGTAATAAACATCATTCTTCAACGACTTCGTATAATGTCGCGTTTTCATGTGGCTTAATCAACTGAATGGTTTTTCGTTGTATTTCGCAAACAGTACACATTTTACGTGAATATTCCAGTTTCCGTTGAATGAATCAAAGTTTGATGAAAATCATCAAAATAGATTATAGATAAACAGCATAGTCCATTATAATCACTATAGAAGTATTGGTAATTGTTGATTTTTTAATACTTTTGCTTTTAAACTATTAGAAAATTTACAATTTTCCCTATCAAAGCAATTTTGTGTTAGTTTTCCCTTAGCTTAGAATTCCAATGCCATCTCTTCGTTCGCTTGGCTTGATGGCCGTGATTATAAGAATAAAGGAACATACTGAAACATAACCATGGTCACTGAAGACCAGGGATGTCCATTTAATTATTTCGTAAGTAAAAAATGTTAACTGGAAAATCCAGCTTCAAGAAAGAACATGCACCAGTATGATTGAAATATTCCAAAAAGGTAACAGGCTAGATGAAAAAATTCATTGGCTGCATGTTTTAGCGATCCCGATCCTCTACGATAAAATATGCACGATGGCCTCTTTAGACTTACAGCGATTTGATTTTCATATTCGACTTTTCACGCTGTAAAAACTACTGACGTTGAAATGATCTTGAAGGATATTTTTTCCGTCTTAGGTCCATCACATCCTTCAGTAATTTCGTAGGAAAAAATAAGCATTAGCTGATAGGCAGCAGTGAATTGCATTTAACTCTTAATCTAATGATTTATTTATCTCGAGACTCCTTTACAAAGCAACACGTTCAAAAGCGTTGTTGACCTGCGAACGATTTTTGCACTCATTCACGATGCTCCGACCAGTTAAGGAGGGGTTCAGACGAGCCGAACTTGCCTTAATTATGATTGAGAGAGACAGCAGCGCCGCCAAATAGAATTTGTTAAAGGATGCAATTAAATAAATGTAGCTTCGCAAGTTGCAAAGTTTTATTGATAGCTTAAAACGCTACGACGCAAATGTTTGAACAGTTCAAGAGTTCCGTCCGAGGGAAATTTCTTTGGACACGTCAAGTATTTCCATGATCGAACGATTTTATACAGGAATAAATAACTACTTTAAAACATAGATGAAATCCCCACAAGCAAATTTTTTAGGCAAAGATAACGGTGACGGATTACTCTAGATTTTTTAAAGAATGTCAAACTCTTCTTAAATCTGCATTTATTTGTTGTAATCGTTCATTCCATGCCATCCGTTGTTCATTTGCAGTTTTCGAGAACACCTCCTTAGTAAAATTTGAGAGCAGACTACGCAATGCACAAATAAGCTGAGAGAATAACTTCAAATTTCAAATCTTCACGCATTTAAAAATCTGGATTCTATGAGATCGACATTTGCTCATGATATGTTATAGCTACCGCTGACTATCGCGTGTGTTCGCGCGAGCGCCTACGACCTGATGTTTACAGACGTTTGCTGCTTATAAAATCATTCAATAGCCGTCAAAGACAGCCTCCCGGGCTCATCTTAAAGGACCTACAACTTCTGGCTATATTATATTATTTTCCTTGAAGTTTCACAGTCTTCTTCTACTTCTGGCAGATTATCCTTCCCTTAAGTTCTCCTTTTTTAGCCGTTGCAAGATTTCATATCAGTTGGATATTTCGTTTAGATGTGAAGCAACCTTTATGTTTCCGAGAATCGTCTTCTTTATCTTTGTTTCTGTCTCCTGCATACCGATGCCTGGAAAAATAACGTATGTACGTGGAGTTCTGGTAAATCAGTTGACTTACTTACGAACACTGATCAGTTGTAAGATACTGCGCAATCTTACAGGAAAATAACTCTTCGATTCAGCGAATGAATGCTTTTCGCCGGCTTTAATAAGCAAACGTGTGTGCTTGTAGTTTTAGCGCTGTTTATATTAAAAGCAAACTCCAAGTGAAGGATTCCTCTCCGAACACAGTCAAACTTCAGGTAGTGGTCTGTCCCGCCCTGACCACTACCTGAATTTGTTTCACGGTGGCTCCGAGTTCAAATCCTCGGCCATGGTTGTAAATAGCCAACTGGTTTGCCTCCGGCCAGTTGGGATTCTTAACAATCTTATGTCCAATTTGAATTATTTGTTTATAGCCCACAATGTAAACTACTGGGTTACCAGTAATTCTGTTAGCTATTAAAGTTATTATTTTTTTTTTTAACTTCTGTTTATGCAGCCTAGCTGCGAGTGATTTTCTGGCCGGCCTTATCGCGTTGCCTCTGACTGTCGCCTATTCGTTTTTATACTACTTTATGCCACGGCTTTGTTTGGCTATGGATCTATGTCAAAGATTTCTAGCGATATCGACAATTATTCACCTCCTGGTCATCACGACGGAACGGTATATCATGACTGTTTGCCCGTTGGCTTACTCTAGAATTATGGAAAAATCTCGTATTTTGACCGTGCTGGTATATCATGATGGGTTATCTCCCTCTTCACCTCGCTTATCCACCTTCGTGGTGTGACCCAGAATGGAAAGAATTATCAACAATTTGGAACAACGATTAAATTTACGATATATTTTGTTTGACTGCCATTGTGTTACTTCCACCGTTATTCATGATTTACGCCCACGTCCACATTTTGCTCTTTGCCAGGCAACAGACAAACGCGATCAAGCGACAAACAGACCACTTGTGCAGCGGAGCCAATCACAAAACAGCAAAGACAAACGCTCAGTTGGCTTACGTTTCTATGCTCGGTGTGTTTATGACAGCATACTTCCTTCTGGCAATCGAAGCCGATTCTAACTACACCTTCTTCGTACTCCCTCTATGGTTTCGCCAGATTTCGTAATTTTTCAAGTCCTTCACTAGCCTATTCAATCCTCTTCTTTACACTTTTTTCAAAAGTGACTCAAAAAAAGAGGCTTCTTTGTTATATCGCGGGTTAAAAAATGCTTGCTGCAGATGTTTCCATTTTGCTACTGCACCAAGTTTTCACACCTAATTCCAAGTGCTTCCTCACCCCGAGAGGAGTATTTGATAGATAATCAGTAAGAACTACAAGTAACAAGATTTATGAAATAACCTAAATACTACGAGCGCTCTGATTGGTGAATTACCTATCATTTATTGCACCAATAAAAAATCGAAACATTTGAAGTGAATTTTAAGAAAGCAATAGACTGCACTTCAGTTTTAGTTTATTGGCCTTAGTAAGGCTGATATCAGTACATATTCAGTGGTGAGTCCGCTGTATAGTCACGAGGAAACATAGATCCATTTCCTTTCTTATTTAACAAACGAGAGGCCTTTCTGGTCTTTGCTTACTAATTAAAAAATGTATAGGAGTAGCGCGTTTGTGCTCATAATATACGAATGAGGGTATCTTTCGCGTTAGTTGTGGTTTATGAAGGAAATGGTTTGGATCAGGGCATGGCATCTTCCAACAATACAGTGTCAAACCCCTCCTTATCGCTACGAGAAAGCAAAAAACACCGCAAACATTATTGTTTTATAAAATTTTTTTTCACTGGAGTTGACTTTCATCTGTTCTTGCACCCACGTGTTTATCATTAGTGATAAATGCTTTTCAGGGCTTGTAGTAAACTTGTGATGATGCACAAGAGATCTTAGCTTTTTTAAGTAATTTTTCGACAACCTGCGTAGTCTGGAATTTTTGTGGGTATCTTATCCTGGAGCCACCTCCTAAACGCAAAAAAAAAAAAAAAAAAAGGAAGAAAAAAATATGCAAGATTTTTAGTAAGAGACATCAAAAGACAATCACTTTTCTAATTTAGTTCAACAAAGCGACATAGTGATTATGATAAATTGTATACCTTGAGTACATTCTCTCGTTTATGATGGAAAGATCCTGAAACAGATTAAAAGTAAGAACAAACTTTACGGGACGGGAAGAATTGATAACTGAATCAAGACCCTTGGAAACCGAGAAACCACGAGAAGCATTCACAACGTAATCTGTGCCTAACCCTTCATGGCCAGACATCAATAAGCATAATCTCCCTACTATTCTTGAGATATTTCCTATGGTACCGACAAGGGGATATTGTCTAGCAATCAAGAGTTTATTGAGTCACCGGTGATGGTTCTTTTCGCATTTTTTTTTTCAGCATAAGGATGGCTCCTTGATCTACGTTAGATTAGTTTAAAAAAAATACCAAATCAAAAGTATTAGCCTGTTCACACTTACGTAATTGTCTTCAAGTTCCCACTCGCCCCTTTCGCAAAAATGCCTCACTCCGATAAACTTCTGATTTCCACACACGCATGCACTCTTTGCGCTAACGACCTCTCTGAGGGTCACGTGCGGAACACGTGGCTTACAGGCGCTTCGTGTTTGGTCTGCTGTTCTCTGTGTGAGATCCCTGCTGATGTTAAGAGAATATCTATGATGTGATATACTCGGCTCTGCGGAAAAACGTTCAAGTTTGCTTCTCGTGCGTCCACTCTCATTTTCTGGCGGACACGTCCTAATCCCTTGTTGAGGTTTAGCCACACCGCACACAAAAGTTCGAGACGGAGGGAGAAGCATGGTCTTTCGACTGAACGTGGAGAGATTTCCTGGAAAAGAGTATGGTTAAACAACAACCACAAAAACAGAGGGTTAATCTATGCTTTTAACTGCCAATTAACTCTTAACGGGTTAAAATCAGTAGGCATATTCTCCATTCTGTTCTCTATACATTTCCGAAGACGCGGACAAGGAGAATTTTTCAGGAATCGAGAGCTTCTTTAGTTGGTAATTGTAGATTATTCATGGGTCAAGTGATCAATCTCATTCCTCTAATTCAATAGATCAATAGAGCTCGGAAAAACGTGTACTATTGCTTGAAGAGTACTATAGTGAGTAATACCTGAGTGCGATGCTACATTTTGTTTCCATTCAGCCCTTCCAGATCTAGCTTTTGGTGTCAGTTCTGTCTCAATGACGTCACCAACAGCGAGAGAGTGGGACACACGAATAGAAGGAAGAAAACTGAAAGAATGAGATTGATGCAGATAAGAACAAGAAAAACTTGTACTTAAGGGCAAGAATTATCCTTGGACTGTAAAGGAATTCATTTCGCAGAATGGGGCGGAGAAATCTTGAAAAGAAGTCGAGAAATGGTGAACGTGGCTTAAGGGTACTATTTTGTTATATGACACAGAAAGAAGAGCCTTTTTTATTGGCTCTTGGATGAATAGACGCCTATAGGGTACCACTTGTGTAAAACCATATGAGCACACGTTCATCATGTCAGCTCAGGTAATTAAATCGTTTATGCCAAGTGAAAGCCGATCTCAAACTTACCGATCAAATAGTGCTTGAAAGTGTGTCCTCAGATCTTTTATTTGTATGAACAAAACTGCATCTGGATTAATTTCACAGGCCTTACCAATATAAAGAAAATAATGGGAGAATTCAACTTAGCCTGAGTGCACGAGTTAGGTACTGATATACAGCGTATGCTACAGAAATGGGCCGGGAGCTTTTTTTTAGAGAGCTAATACCGAGATTCCGTAAAGGCATCCCCTATACTTCTTTCCCTCAGATGGACAGATAATCGACTTGAAAATGACCTATTATGAATAATTTATTGAAATCGGCTGAAGTAAGACTTCATGTTGATCGTAGATTTCTCATATAAAACCAGTCCTTTTAGCTTTTACCCCATACTCTACTCTTACTCAAGGAAAGTCGGATCGTGCAAAATTTACGAGAAAATGAACGACAGTAACGACAATAACAACAACACCAAAAATTGAAAAAAGATTGTTTGTAGCTTACCATCTCAAGGTCACGTTCGAGTTTTTTCGCGCTTGTGACGTTAGCTTCTTTTTCTTCTTTCTGTTGATTAATGAAAGAGAATTTAGAGGAGTAAAATTTCTCATTCCACAGAATGGTTACAAAAAACATTTTACGCATTCAACGACCTGAGCTTCTCATAATTATGTCTATTTGGTACAATACGTAAATATTCTCGCCCATTCCAAAAAGCTTACTGGTCTCTGTAAAGGGACCATTCATTATATTACTCTCTGGGCCTAAACCCCCCTTCACCCCCCCCCCCCTCCAATTAGGCTGTGTAGTATTGTAATGGTCCCCCCTCGTTGGAAGTTTATTTTATAAAGTTCCCCATTTGCACTCTGTTTTCGACGACAGGTCCCCCTTCCGTTCCCCTTGAAAACCATGTGTTCCCTCCAATCAATCAATCAATCAATTTATTTAACGTGGTCAGAACGCTTAGCTAAAAGCTAGTTTACAGGTACGCCACGAAATAAAAAGAGAAAAGGAAATGATAAAGCCTTGTGAAGGTATATATAAATTTAAATAAATTAAGATTAAGAACTAGCTAATATTAAAATATAAGAATTTAACAATGTAGTCACCGAGTTGAATATATAAAATGTAATCATTAAAAACAGGAAATATAATTAAGGATAGATCCTCACCGCGCTAGAGTCCCGTGAGATCTAATGTTTTTAAGTAATTTTTAAAAGTAGTAAATGTTTGTATCTTTCGAGACTCGTCCGGTGAAGCGTTCCATAGTTTCGATGCAGCATATCTCCATGATCTTAACCCGAAAGCTGTTGATTTTACTTTTGGGAGGTCCAGTATTGTGGTGCCCCTAAGGTTATAAGTGGAGTACCCAGCTGTTATAAGATCACGTAAGCTTTTTGGTCTTGCATCACTGGTTAATATCTTAAAAACCGTGGACAATATTTTCGCTAATCGCTGTTCACGAAGACTTGAGAGACCGATACGCTTACAAAGTTCCTCATAAGGCGAGGACTTATCTCTAAAAACAAAACGGAGCGCACGTTTGTTCACCAACTCTAACTTGTCAGCTGACTTCTTATTACAGAAGTGCCACGTTTCGGAGCAATAATTAAAGTGTGGTAAAATGAAGGTTTTGTAAAGATACCTTCTAGTCTCAAAAGAAAACATTTTCTGCATCCTTTTTAACACAGCCACCTGTTGACTGACTTTTCTACATATCTAAGAAATGTGCTTTTGAAAATTTAATTTACCATCGATTATCTCGCCGAGAAGTTCCATTGTGTTGGATATGGGAAGTTGTGACTCCTCACACTTAAACACTGGTTCATCAGTTCCTTTGTGTTTTCCTAACACCATTGCCTGGTATTTGGAACTGTTCCTCTTCATACCATTACGCGCGAACCATATATAAGCAGTAATAAGATCATTGTTGATTGTTTCTTCAAATTTGGAGAGTTGATCGTCGGCGTAAGAGATTTGAGTGTCATCGGCGTAAGTGGACAGAGTGCACTCCTCGATGGCATATGGAAGATCGTTCATGAAGATGTTGAATAGTAAAGGGCCGAGGATAGATACCTGTGGTACACCATTGCATATAGGTTGCCAATTGGAAAGCGTATCCCCTAGTCTCACTCTTTGGAATCGATTTGATAAATAAAGAATCCTCTACCAGAATCCTCTACCCTCCCTCCCTTCTCCCCCTAGGCGATAGATAATGACTGGTCCCTAACAAAAGCAGAATATTAGACCTATTTTATATTAACACCAATGATATACCAGGTGAGCTTTCGCTCGAAAACGTGATATCTTCACTCGTGAAAATAACACTGTAACTATTACCTTTAGTTTCTTGAAGAGCCCTCTGAGAAGCCAACCGCAGACTTGCGTCGGAGCAAGTTGGATGGCAAAACTTACATCTGACAAAGCCTTAACATAAAGGAATTTAAATTCAGCAAAGAAAAAAAAAGGCAATCACCTGTAGATCTTTGCAAAAGGGATATCAACAAATCGATAGTGGTTTGGCGTGGTCTGTTCTGTTATCGACAACGACATTTTTCATCACAAGGGTACAAAAGACAAGTGCTATGCAACCTAACCCTGATTTAAAAGGTGAATTGAATTGAAAGAATAATTCACCAGCTTCAACCAGGAACGCTCCATTTTGAATGGCACGATGCAAAGGCAAAATTGTGAGCTGGCCGGGTGATAAGAAAACTTATTTTATGATTAGCCTTGTCGTCCACTGAACTTGAAAGTATGACGTGGACGGTGTTATTAGATTAAACATATTAATTACCTTTTCATCTCGGTTCAGAAGGAAATTTACCACCGATCTGACACAAAATAATTCCTTTAGAAAAGAAGTTGAGAGAATATTACTAAAAATTCTTGTCATTGTTTTTTTTTTTTTTTTTTTTTTTTTTTTTTTTTTGTACCCAGCTTCAAAACTGCAGTGTGTTAAAACTGTATACCTAAAATAGAGAATTTCGAAAATTGCTCTGGTGTGGAAATACTGACGTCATTTTTGTCTTCACCTAAAAAGATTTTACTCCTTGCAATTGCTCGCAAATGTTCTAACCCTTACTTTTAGTAAAATGAGAAGGAAATTATTGCAGCGATACACTAATCCATGACAGAAAAGGTTTTGAAACTGAAATCTGAATAAATAATGTCAATAACCGAGAGAAACAATGAATCAAAACGTCTGTCTTTGATAAATGAGGTGTAAGAAATGTTGTGAAGTGTTGGCTTACCGGATTTCTAAAGTCCAGTAAAATCGCCTTTTCTATTCTGCTTAGTGCCTCGTTGAGATCTCCTGGTAAAAGAAAGATATAGGAAAAAAATACGAATTATCGAATTGATTAAATAAGTTGAGCTGTATTAGGTTCACATTTGGATGTGGCCGGCAATGACAGAATAAGTCTTTCGCCACCCTATGATATCCTTCTAAATGTATTGTGAGCTGCATGAAGATTCAATTAACTTAGCATTAGCGAGGCTCTAATGCACTTCCCTACGGAATTTCGTCCATCAAACTTTCAAATTATTTGTTATGTAAGTGAAATAAGAACTTTTCATTATGAAAGGCAGCCATGTTAGAGGACCTTTTTAATGATCTGTGAAAGTTGAAAAATGTTGCCAAAAATTGCTCATAATAGTCAGTTACACGCCGTCTTAATATTCCTCATCCATGCTATGGATCTTTAATAGTTCACCACCTTCACACCATAATCATATGATACAACCATGTGATGCGACGTAACGCGTAACCCAACGTACATAGCCTATTTGATTACTAATCAATCTCATCGTTTAGGTCCAGTCCTTGTCAGATTGGTACGCTCCGTGAGGCAACTGTCAGCTTAGTTAAAATAGAGGTCCGACGAAGGGCCTTCGCTCCGATGAAGGGCTACCGCTCGAAACGTCAGCTTTTGTAATCGTTACGGTGGCTGATTTACCATTTCAAATTTGTTGGTATATGAAAACTATTTCGCTACCCCCACCGACGCAGCCCCAAACAGTTTCTTTAGAAACTATCAGCCTTTAAAATAGAGGTAGTTCTAAAGATATTAACTTTTAGCGAGAGAGGAAACCTTATCTCCTCTTGCTTTTAAACTGTATAAAGTTACCTGTGTGAATGTAACAATAGCATATTCTCGCCAGGGTAGGGACGTGCAAATGTAGAACCCTTCCCGTGATGCAACCTGCCCGGCACTCATCCTAGAAATTTTAATTAGGTCGTTACTACTTTTCCGCCGTTAACCAAGAAATGTCTGAAGGAAGATCAGATGACACTTCAGTGAGTTTACATCCGATGCACCTTACCTTTCTCCAACTGACCACCTCCATGGCCCGCTTAAACTGCCATATGGCCTTCTGGTAGTTTTGAAGGTTCTGTAGTGCGACTGCGCAATGAAAATGACACTCAAACAGCTGCAAAGTGAGTGAAAGAAACTGTTCTCGGTATAATAGTTTTTATTTACTTTAAGCGGCTAGGAAGCTCTGTAGTCATTTTGAAATTTAGTTTCGTTCAGCACAACTTACCAGCAGCCATAGTTTATCTTTATTCCAGTGTTTCCTCCATTTCATATTGTAGATTAGGCGTAACACCTCTCTGTAACTGGTTTCAGCCTGGCAATATTTCAAGACAAACTTAGGAAAGTATTTCATGATACTCGTTCCAAGTGCAAGTAATTTCAAAAAGTTGCGTGATACTTCTGGAAGATGTGATTTACCTTCTTATACTTCTTTTTATATTCATCAGTCAGTATACGTGCGCTACGATTGGTCAATTAAAAGGGCTGTATCTCACTGTGCAGCCCGCGAAATTCAGAAATTGATATCTACCCCTTCGATCTATTTGAACCCTCGTTTTCTTGTTCCATATTGTAAGTTATGGAACGTTATGTTTGCCGCTCTGATTTATCCCAAGCGCGAGAAATAAATCCAAGCGAGAAAAATGAGGTTCCGTAACCTACAACACGGATCTTGAACTCGGCTAGTCAACAGCAAAAAGTGCCTTTTTCCCTCTCCGCCTCCACCTCTGAATGCTATACAACGATATCGCACTCCTCCATTGTGTGCCATATAACGTAAACCGAAATCATGATAATGAATTTAAATCATTTATCTTTCGATGAACTCACTTCCTGTCCATACATATACATTCGTAACTAGCAATCGGTAAAACTTCAAAACGCCTGTACGTATTTTACCACTATTCTGAAAAGCAACGGTAAACACTAAGAAATGAAATTTTTTCTCAGCTTTAGTCGCTTTTACAATAATATTTATATTTGGAGAGTTTGCGACTCTTTTTATAATATTGTGTTCAATTTTATTTCTTTTGCATCTACCGCCGAATAAGTCAAGAGAAGAGTTTAGTTTACATCCTTATAATCCCTTGTGCAAGATAAGAAACGAAAATTTAGAGAGTTTTGATTCCCTTAGGTGGCGTTTCTTGTAAGCGTGCTTCTAAGAGTAGGTTTACACTAGAGGAGAGTTTTCCGGATCCGTAAATGTTTCCGGATTCATCAATTTTGTAGTATTCGGATTCGTCGGCGTTTACACTGAAAGGATATTCGGATTCCTGACCGTTTACACACAACGACAACTCTGGGAACGTTCGAAATGGAATGGTTACCAAGCCCAGTGTTGATTCGTCGTTCGATCGACAAAGTGAAAATGCCTCCCTCGAAAAAGGCAGTGTGGTAGATCCAGATGCCACTGAGGCAAATTTGAGTTGGACAGATGCCAAGCAGTCTACGTCGTCGGCGATTACTGAGTGTGGCTGACGTTAAACTTCCTTGCAATAATAATTTGCGTTTCTTCAGAAATACTGCGGTACACAAATTTATCGCCTGAACCTGCAACAAGATTAGGCAACCGGAGACCGCCAGCAACGTTAGCACCAGATCCATTTTGGTTTCACCGCTAAATCAAATGATTGCAGGTGGAAATAATATCCGGATTCGAAAAAAAAAGCGGTTACACGACAAAACTTTCCGGATTCAAAAGTTATTGGATTCAAAGTTCCCACTTTAAATTCCGGATTCAAAATCTCCGGAGACACGACCAAACCGGGAAGTTTTTATTTCGGATTCGTCCACTTTCGTGTAAACGGCAGAATAAATCCGGTACTAAAACGTTTCGGATTCATCACGAATCCGGAACAATTTCCTCTAGTGTAAACCTAGTCTAAGTCTATGATACAGACTCTTGCTTATAAAATACTTTGACTTAGCTAATTACGATAGAAGCTCTCACTTATTGCGAAGAAGCTTTAAGTGTTCCAATACAAACATCGCATTGACAGTTTCACATACATGAATAAGATTTGCATTTTCTGTTTTAATATCTATATTTGGAAGCCTCATTTTGAATACGCCAATGTTGAGTTTCGTAAACTTGAATAATGAAAGTTTAAATATAATTTTGCATAAGCTACTGACGTCGTTTTCATTTTGCAAAATTGCAAACATTTGCAAGATATGCAAATTTTTTCTAGAGCCAAATCATTTCCTGTGCTGAAAGGAAAATGATCGACTACCCATTTCCAGAAGAAAAAAGCCGTCGATAATAAGACTTGTATTCTAAATTGTAATTCGTAAAAATTCATTTCTATTTCGGCGCTAGCTTTATGCTAAATTTTTAATCATAGGAAACAACGGAAAGGCTAACTGATGAACATGGCGTAACCAATGGTTACAGGCGCGATGTTGGTGTTTTAAAGTCGCAGTAGATAATCTGATATTTTGTAAAATTTTCCGATACGAGATTGTTTGATGATAAAAGTGAAGCAAAATACCTTTTTCCATGATTTCTGCCTTTCGAATGTCAGGGCTGAGAGAAAAGCTCTTTGGACTTCCATTTTCGTTGAAATACTGAGTGGCATCGAAGTCTCTTGACTGAGAGATATGTTTCGCAGATAATTGGCTGCTTTAGGTAACAACTCGTTAAAGCAGCTTTTCGTTATCTCTTCGATGACATAAACACACATTTCACGCCATCACATTCATAAGTGTAACAGTGGATTCAAACGAAGCTGGTAAACAGACAAAGGAAAGCGTTTCGTTCGTCGAACCTTGACAATCCGGAATCGTGTTTAGTTTCCGCTTACTAGGCAGCTGACTCCACATAGAGAATGAGAATGGTTTATTTATAGAGAATCTCTAACCTTAATTTGCATTTGAGAAACGTTTGTAATATTTTGTATTTCCGAAATTTCATTCATTACGATTGACAGGTTCCCGGAGGGAGTCGTTCTTGAGGTTAAAAAAAACCTCGACAGAAAAATTTAGAATATCCAAAGAACAGATTTATCTTTTCGCCGGACTATAACAAATTTAGGTGGAAATCCGCGTTGGATCTTTTTTATCTCGTCACTTTTGGCGCAGTTTTCAAACTTCCATTTTCCTAATGTGGCTACATGAGTGGGTTTATTCTCTGGCTTATATGACTTTTAACAGTGAAAGAATTGCAGATCAGACACGATCGAGATTTTTAGCGTCAAACTTATTAATAATGTTCTTGGTAATGGAACAATAACCTTTTTGAAATATTTCATAATATAGAGCACTTGGAATAATCCCTAACATCAAAGCTGCCAGCGATAACAAAGCGAGGGTGCAGAAGTCTTTTTTTATTATAACGTTGTTAAGGCCCTCCACAGACTAGGGATTTAGTTGTCGACAACTATTTGTGATCGACAACTAAAAGTTATCGACAACTAAAAAACGTAGTCTGTGGCGCAAGTTGTCGACAACTAAACCGCAAATTATTAGTTGTCGACGGCCTCATTTTT